TGCTATGTATTGCAGAAGAGAGCCAGAATCACCTCCTCTTTCTGCGAACTATATCGTTGATGCTGCTGATGCTGGTGGTGCTGGTGCTGCTGCGGCGGCGGCAAAGCAGATTGTATGTCTTATTGCTGCCCTCCGTTGTTATATAGTGCTTCCTGCTGCTACAGACTCAGGCGCAACAGCAACAGCAGCAGCAGCAGCGTCACAACAGCAAACGTATATTGGAGAGGAAGACCGTTCCGACAGATGCGCAGCGACAACAGGCCTGTGCAGCGGTGGGAGGAGCAATAGCAACAGCAGCAGGAGGAGCGACAACACGAACTACAACAGTAGCAGCAGCAAAAGCAGCAGCAGCAGTGACAGCTTAACAGGACGAATAGCAGCAGTACATCTAGTGTCATTACTGCCACCGGTAGCAGGTTCTAACTATTTATTGGGTCGGTCATCTGCTGGTGCTGTTGCTGAGGCATTCACCCCACAGCAGCATCGACGGCCTCTGCAGCAGCTTCACGCACATTATTACCAGCAGCAGCAGCAACAGCAGCAAAGCATGCAGAAGCAGCAGCGCCGACAGCAAGCCGTGGAGCTACAGGGCCAGCAGCAGGATGGGTATACATCTTCTCGCGTGGACCAGCAGCACCATGCCTCTCGTGAGTTCTTTGCTGCCTCGTATGCATCTGCTGTTGCTCCGCCACTTGCAGAAGAAAGAGAAGAAGAAGCAGCAGCAGCAGCAGCCGGGGAGAAGGAAACGAAGGAGTCGATAAGCCTTACCGCTGCTCCGCCTGCGCATGCAGCAACATCTGCAGCAAAAACGACAGCAGCAGCTTTATCAGGAGCATACCGCTCTGCCTCAGGAGCAGCACCAGCAGCAGCTGCAGCAGCCGTTCCTTTAGGAACCGCCGCAGTAGCAGCGCCTGCAAAAGCTGCTGCAACAGCAGCACCGATAGCGGCCACCCCTATCACCTCCACTACCTCCGCCAGCACCGCTGCCTCCACCGCCACTGCAGCAGCAGCAGCAGCAGCAGGAGCTTCTGTAGGTGCGACCGCCACAGCTACGACAGCAGCGGCTGCTGCAGCAGGAGCTCCAGCAGCAGCTCCTGTAGCAGCTCCTGTACCGGCAGCCACCGCAACAGCAGCCATAACAAGAGCAGCCACAGCAGCTCCAGTAGTAGCGGCCGTGTCCACCACCACAACAGCAGCAGCAGCTCCTGCAGAAGCTGCCGCAACAGCAGCACCCCCAGCAGCCATCAGTGTACCCTCCACTACCACCGCCGACACCGCTGTCACCACCAGTACCATCACCACCGGAGCAGGAGCAGCAGAAGCCTCTGTGGTTGACTCCGCCACAACTACAACAGCAGCAGCAGCAGAAGCTGCTCCTGTAGAAGCTTCTGTATTAGCAGCCACCACACCAGCAGCAACAGCAGCACCTGTAATAGCAGGTGCGACAACCACAGCAGCAACCACGGCAGCGGCTTCTGAAGTAACCACCGCTGCGGCCGTCCCCACGACAGCAGAAGCTCCTGTAGTGGCCACCGCCGCCGTCGCAGCAGCAGGACCTGCAGCCAGCACCCCCGCCACAGCAGCAGCAGCAGCTGCAGCAGCAGCCTCCACCAGCGTTACAACAGCAGCGACCCCAGTAGTTTTAGGCAGCACCACGACAGCAGCAGCTCCTGCGGCCGACTCCCCCACCGCAGCAGCAGCAGCAGCTCCCGCTCCAGCAGCAGCCACCAGCAGCGCTACGACAGTAGCGGCCCCTCTTGTAGGCAGCACCGCGACAGCAGCAGCTCCTGAAGTACACAGCGCCACAGCAGCAGCCCCTGAAGCAGGCAGCATCACAGCAGCAGCTCCTATAGTAGCTATCCTAGCAGCAGCAGCAGCTCCTGCAGCAGCCACCAGCAGCGCTACGAAAGCAGCGACCCCCCTGGTTTTAGGCAGCACCACGACAGCAACAGCTGCAACAGCTCCTGAAGTCAGCCTCACCACAGAAGCAGCTCCTAAAGCGAACGACACCACAGCAGCAGCCCCTGGAGTAAGCAGCAGTATACCTCCTGTAGCAGCTATTTCAGCAGCAGCAGCAGCAGCTCCTGCAGCAGCCACCACCAGCGCTACGGCAGCAGCGGTCCCTGTAGTTTTACTCAGCACCACGGCGGCAGCAGCTCCTCTCGCAGCCGCCGCCACAGCAGCAGTCCCTGTAGTAGCCAGCACCACCGCAGCAGCAGCTCCTGAAGTCAGCCCGGGCACAGCAGCAGCTCCTGAGGTCAGCCTCACCAGAGCAGCACCTCCTGAAGTACGCGGGACGACAGCAGCAGCAGCCCCCGAAGTAAGCAGCACGACAGCAGCAGGCCCTGGAGTAAGCAGCCCCATAGCAGCGGCTCCTGCAGTAGCTACCTCAGCAGCAGCAACAGCAGCAGCAGCAGCTCCTGCAGCAGACGCCACCAGCGCTACTACCGCAGCGGCCTGTGTAGTGGCCAGCACCACGACAGCAGCAGCTTCTGAAGTCAACACCGCCACAGCAGCAGCCCCTGGAGTAAGCAGCACGGTACCACCGGACCCTGTAGTAGCTGCCTCAGTAGCAGCAGCAGCTCCTGTTGTAGCTACCTCAGCAGCAGCAGCGTCTCCTGTGATAGTCACCACGACGACCACGACGACAACAGCGGGAGCTCCTGTTGTAGACGCCACTACAGCAGCAGCTCTTACAATAGCCCCGCCTACAACCACAGCCGCAGCAGCAGATCTTGTAGTAGTCGACACCCTCGCAGCAGCAGCAGCAGGAGCTTCAGGAGGATGTCGCGCTGACTCAGGAGCTCTTGAAGCGGCCCTCTTGACGGCCACAGCAGCAGAAGGTCCTGTAGCCGCCGCCAGCCCCACCACCACCACAGCAGCAGCAGCAGCTCCTGCAAGAGGCTGCGCCACAGCAGCAGCACCTCTAGCCAGTCCCACCCCAGCAGCTGCAGCAGCTCCTGCAGGAGCCACCATTGTCACCACCACAGCAGCACCAGCAGCAGCTCCCGTAGCAGCCACCACTGCAGCAGCAGCACCTCTAGCCAGTCCCACGTCAGTAGCAGCAGCAGCAGCAGCTCGTGCGGGAGCCACCGCCATCTCTAGCGCCGCAGCACCGGCAGGAACTCCTGCAGTAGCCACCACCACAGCAGCAGCATCTCTAGCCGGCCCCGCCCGAGCAGCAGCACCGGCAGCAGCAGCTCCTGTAGGAGCCACCACCATCACCACCACTGCAGCAGCAGCAGCAGCACCAGCAGCAGCTCCTGTAGTAGCCACCACCACAGCGGCAGCAGCTCCTGGAGTTACCACCGCGACACCAGCAGGCCCTGTGGCAACTCGCGCCTCAGCAGCGGCAGCAGCAGCTTGTGGGGCGGCCGTACGGTCAGAGCGGCACACAGCAGTCAGAACCGCAGCGGCGACGGCAGCAGCAGCAGAAGCAGCAGTAGCTGCAGCACCAGCAGAAGCAGCAGTAGCTGCAGCACCAGCAGAAGCAGCAGTAGCTGCGGCACCAGCAGAAGCAGCAGTAGCTGCAGCACCAGCAGAAGTAGCAGCAGCTGCAGCACCAGCAGACGCAGCAGCAGCTGCAGCACCAGCAGAAGCAGCAGTAGCTGCAGTACGTGGTGCGTCCACGTTAACAGCAGCAGCAACATCTCCATCTATACGTCGCACGCCAGGAGCAGATGCACCTGCGGAAGCAGAAGCAACATCAGCACGCAGTCATGCAGACGGAGAGGAGGAAGTGCAGGAAGAAGAAAGTAAGAGCAGGAGCAGCTGTAGTGGTAGCAGCTGCAGGTGGAGTAGTAGTAATAGCAGTAGGGGCAGCAGTTTGTGCCCTAGTAGTCACACCAGCAATAGCAGCAGCAGCAGCCTGTATAGTGGTAGCAGCAAGAGTATAGCACTGCAACAGAAAGAAGAAGAGGAAGAAGAAGAAGAAGAAGCACGCGAGAAGCGCTCTGCTGCTGCTGGTGGTGGTGGTTTATGCAGTGGGTGTTTTATATCTTTACTGGAGGTGTGGGATGACAGCAGCAGCAATCCAAGAGAGGCTGCAGCGGTAAAAACAGCAGCAGCAGCAACACGAAGAGGCTTTCCAAGCAGCGGCACCTTCAGGTATATAGATGTTTCGCAGCAGCAACAACTGCAGCGGCAGCTATCATGGCAGCACCCGTCACAGCAGCAGCAGCAGCAGCAGGAGCAGCAGCAGCAGCCGCATTGGGGGAAGGTGCTGCAGAGCCTCCACGGGCAGGGAAGAATGGTGGAGGCTGACAGCGATGGTGACAGGTGTGTACTGCAGGAGGCGAGGGATATAGTGCGGTATGCAACAGCAGCAGGATCGAAGCAGCAGCGGCAGCAGCAGCTGGATGGCGGTGTAGAAGCACGTCCGCATTGTAGGGGCAGCAGCAGCAGCAGCAACGGACAACAACGCAGCAGCACCAATAGAGACGACTGGAGAGGTCACAGCCCCCCATGCTGCAGCAGCAGGAACAGAAGTAGCAGCAGCGACGGCAGCAGCAACAGAAGAAGAGGCAGCGGCGCCGTCTGCTGCTGCTGTTTAGGAGACAGTATATATACATGTAGAATCATATCCAGGGGACCAGTTTTACTAATAGCGGCCTCTGCTACTGCAGCAGCAATTGCAGAAGCAGAAGATATGGTCGCAGCAGCGACGACAGTCACGACAGCAGCAGCGGCAGCAACGGCAGCAGCAGCAGCACCACCAACAGCAACAGCAGCAGCAGCGCCAGCAACAGCAGCAGCAGCAGCAACAAATTCTGTAGACGCGTACTACAGGGGTAAAGAGGAACAGCAAGGTGTTCCTCTTCCCCCATCATTTCTGTACTTCTGCTGCTCTTGTTGTACCTTTTGGTCTTTCTGCTGCCCCTCGGAGCTTCTTCTTCTGCAACAGCAGCAGCAACAGCAGCGGCAGCAGGAGACGAAACGCCTGCAACGGTCACAACAAAATTTACAGGAGACGAGACGTATGCAACGGCTGTCACAACAACTGCGCCAGAACAGCCAACAGACGAAAGCACAGCAGCCGCAGCAACAGCAGCAGCAACAGCCCCACCCGGAGCACCAGCGACAGCAACAGCAGCAACGGCAGCAGCCACAACAACAACACCATCAGCAGCGGCAACAGGAGCACGAAGAACAGCAGCAACAGCAGCGGCAGCAACAGCAGCAGCAGCAACAGCAACAACACCAGCCACAGCAGCAGCAGCAACAGCAGCAACCGCAGCACCATGGGAAGCAGCAGCAGCAGAGAGTTCCACTGGTGAAGAGACAAGGCCACGGTGTTGCACAGAATTATCGAAGGCAGCAGATTCTTTATTCGCAGAACGGCAGCAGTACATCAGTAGCTAGGAAGGTACGAGGCTACAGTAATATATCTGTTGCTGCGCTACACACTCTTTTTTCCGAAGAAACTGTTTCTATTTGTTTCTTCTCCGGAGCGGACTGCGGTTTTACGCTGCCTCCTCCTCCTCCTCTTTCTCCCCCTCCTCTTCCTGCTTCTTCTTTCCCGTCTTCTTCTTCTTCTTCTTCTTCTTCTTCTTCTTCTCTTCCGCCTTGTGCTACTACTAATACTACTACACTCAGTACTACGAGTATGCAGGGTGCTGCGGCAGCAGTCGTAGCATTGAGCAGCCATCTCACAGCGGATTCTGCAGGTGGACAACAGCCTTTGAAAGGACTAGCAATATCAACAGGCGTCGACAGGCAGCAGCAGCAGCAGCAGCAGTCACAGCACCCTTTGAAGCAGCAACAGCAACAGCAGCAGCAACAGCAACAGCAAGAGCAGCAGCAACAGCGACAGCAAGAGCAACCGCAGCAGCAGGCGCATCAACGACTCTGGAAGCAGCTGCCGCAGCAGCAGAAGCCTCGGGAGCAGCAGGAGCACCACCCGCAGCAGCAGACAGCGATCTTCCGACAGCAGCAGCAGAGAATGCAGCAACAGCAGAGGATGCAGCACCAGCAGCAGCAGCAGCAGCAGAAGACACTACAACGGTTGCGACAACAGCAGCAGCAGCAACAGCAACAGAAGCAGCAGCAGCAAGAGGAGCAAGAAAGAGAGGCTGAATTGTCATGGTATCGGCAGCAGCAGGAGGAGCAAAGGAAGCGTGATAAGGAGTTATGGCAAGGAGGTATAACGGTAGATAGCGAGCCACCACCCTTCGCATTTCTACTATGGCCTCGTTATATAGCACAAACTGCTGCTATTAATGGCCTGCCTCTGGCACTGGAACTGCAGCAGAATGCTGCTGCTAATCGTATCATGTTACTACGTACGTTACGCGTTGTTCGCAGCTGGATATACGCAGCAAAACGATTCGCAGCAGCGAGGAAAACACTCAGTCATAAAGCTGCAGCAGACGCAGCAGCAGCAGCCGTAGAGGCGGCAGCAGCAGCAGCAGAAGCAGCAGCAGCAGGAGGGGGACGGGGAGAACCAGCAGCCAGGACACCAGGAGGGGCAGCAGCAGGAGTGGGAGCACGAGGAGCAGCAGCAGGAGCACCAGCGGGAGCACCGGCACCATCTATACACGATGCTGCAGCACCAGCACCAGGAGCAGCTGCAGTAGGAGCGGCTGCAGCAGGAGCAGCAGTAGCAGCAGCAGGAAGGGGTACAGTAAAAATAGGAGGAGGCGGCAGAGAAAGACATACGCAAGAAAGATGCAGCTGTCGTCTAGCAGCATATGAGAAGGTTCTCTTTCGTAATACATTTTCACTACGAGCAGCCCTAGCACATGCTTGTGCTCCTGTTGCCTTTCCTGCTGCAGCAGTAGTACAGAGACTACTAGGGACACAGCTGCAGCAGTTGTATATTCAGTATGCAAAGGAAGCCGCTACATATTACCCAGTACAACTGCGTCCACAGCTGCGAGACTTCGTAGCTGCTGTTGCTCAGAAGCAGCAGCAGCAGCAGCAGAAGCAGCAGCAGGAGCTGGAGGGGCAGGAACAGCAAGAGCAGCAGCAGCAGCAATATTGGAAGAGCGAAATGGAGAGCGACGTGCTGCTATTGTCACAGCGGAAACAGCAGATGCCACAGAAGCAGCAACCGCAACAACAGCAGCCGCAAAAGCAGACCCAGCAACGCCTGCACCAGAAGAAGCAACAGCAACCGCAGGAGGAGCAGCAGCACACGCTGCAGCAGAAACTACACGACCAGATACAGCAGCAAACGCCACAACAGCTGCAACGCATTCCGGCACAATGGCAGCAGCGGCAGCAACAGCAGCAGCAGCAGGTGCAGCAGGAGCATGAGAAGCAGCAGCAGCAACAGCAGCAGCTAGAGGAGGTAGTACCAGGCCCCTCTGTGTGTCTAAAACATCAGAAGAGATGTTTTTCTACGATTACCAGCAGCATCGAGAACGTGTTAGTTGGTAGCAGCAGTCACAAGTCGATGCTGTTGTTGCAGCAGCAGCAGCAGCAGAAACGACACCCGGATTTCTCTTTTTCTACCTCGTGCTGCTACTGCTGCTGTTGCTGCTGTTGCGACGTCTCCTCCTCCTCCTCCGCCTCCTCCTCGCACTGCAACAGCTGCTGCTGCTGTTGTTCTTCTACCTCCCCTCCATCAAGCAAAATTTCTTATTTTTTGCTGCTCTTTCGGATCAGGATCGACTGGTTGTTTGTGGGGTGCAGCAGCACACCTATCGACTACTCTTCGCTGCTACTCTTGGTGCTACTTCTTCTTCTGCTTCGTCTTCTTCCTCGTCGTCTTCTCTTCTACGGTCTCATCCTTCTGCTGCTTCTGCTGCTACCGCTTCCAACGCTATCACATCCATATGTGCATCTCCTTCTACTTCGTTTTTTTCTGCCACCTCTGCTGCAGGATGTTGTAATTATCAAAGAGGTGGCACTGCTGCTCTTGCTGATGATTGTGCTTCTGCGACTGCTGGTGCCGCTGCTTCTGCTGCTGCTGCTAAGTCCCACAAAGCCACAGAAGAACGTATAAAAGGAAGAGGGTGTGACTTCCTTACAGCTTCCTCCACTCGCACTACTACTACTACTGCTACTACTAGTACTACTGCTACCTCTCCTAGCGCTACTATTACTACTTTTACTAGCGCTACTACTGCAGTAGCTACTACTGCTATTGCCAGTGGCGCTCCTACTAGTATACGTATCGGTAACAGCAATGAGATGAGTAGGAGCAGGAGGAAGAATGATAATATACTGGCGGGCAATAGATATTTAGCTGTTGCAACTCCGCCTGGATGTTTATGTGTAGCTGCACTTGTATCCGCCGGGTACTTGGTAGTTCTCGAGCTTTCGCTAGTAGTCATGCATGAAACGTCGATGATGCAGCAGTCCAAGAAGCAGCAGCACCGCCTTCAGCAGCAGCAGCAGCTGCTGCAGCAAGAGAAGCGACAGCCGTATCCGCAAAAGCAGCAGCAGGAGCAGGTGCAGTACTCGCAGCAGTACTATTCGTACCTACACCAGAAGCAGCAACAGCAGCATCCGCAGCAGAAGCAGCACCCGCATCATCTGCAGGAGCAGGTTCAGCAGGGACACGCGCCTCAGAAAGTAAAAGTAGATAACCGCGGTGTATATAGCAGCAGTGGATACGAGCATCAGAGAAATACAGAACAACAGGACCAGCAGCTGCGTAGCAGGCCAAGAAGCAGCAGCCGCAGCAGTGGTAGAAGTAATTGTAGTAGTAATAACTGGGGAGAGACGTATGCCGGTATACGACCTAAGCTTCTTGTACGGAGATCTGCAGTATGTAAAAGTATTATTGGATCCAGCGTTGGCTTTACATACGAACGTATACCTGGTCTACAGCTCATAGTTGGCCAAACTGCTCTACAGGTATGTGGGTCTCTTCGCTGTATGTAGCGGCGAGAGATAAGAAGCAGATGAAGAAAACGAAGAAGAAGAAGAAGGAGGAGAAGAAGAAGACGAAGAAGAAGAAGAAGAAGAAGAAGAAGAAGAAGAAGAAAAGAGAAAGGAAAAGGAGGAGGCGCAGCAAGAGCAATACATTAAACATCACCAGCATAGAAGCAGCAGCAACAGCGGCACGCGAGGAGGACGGGGGGGGCGAGGAGGAGGAGGAGGAGGACCAACAGCAGCAGCAACAGCAGAGCAGCGTGACCAGTAGCAGCGGACTGCCGGCAACACAAGCATACTTAGCGGACAGCCGCGGCCTAATCAGCAGCAGAACCGGCATATATATATATATATATATATATATATATATATATATATATACCCACGCGTATGTACAACGAATCCTATACCTTGCTACCTATATATATGTATATATATATATATATATATATATACATATTTATATATATACATATATATATACTATGTATATGCATATATACATATATATATATATATATATATATATATATACTTCTTTCCATATATATATATATATATATATATATACATATATATGTGTATATGTATACTCATAGTTATGTACACATATATACATATATATATATATATGTATATATATGGTAAGTTCTCCTCTAGCAAAATCTCTAGGTTTCCAGCCGGATACTATCGACGGATGACGAGAGATTATTTGAATGCACACTTAAATCAGCAGCAGCAGCAGCTTAACGACGGCGCCCGTTGTGGATTCTCCTCTACTCTTCCTCTCTCTGTATATATGTGTATATATATGCATATATATGTCTACGGTGACGTGTGTACATATATATATATATATATATACCCATATATACCTGGAGCTCAGCTTCTTTCGATTACATATGTATATCTATATATATATGCCCATATATACCTGGAGCTCCGCTTCTTTCGATTAAAGCGTCGGCGCATACACATCTACTCATAACACTGGGGGGGTATTACTACAGATAGCATATATTCGCATGCAGGAGAACTTTTATGTAGAGAGAGGACACATGTTTGTACATGTGTATTCATATGTATATGTATGCGTGAGCTTGTTCTCGGGGTGGCTACACGATCCTACTGGATTGGGAATCGTTATCCGTATATCCTCCGTCTCAGCTCCTGGTGCTGCAGCATATATCTGCATGCAGGAGAAGTTTTATATGTAGAGAGGAAATATGTTTGCAAATGTGTATCATATGTATATGTATGCGTGAGCTTGTTCTCAGTGTGGCTGCTTAATAATACTGGACTGGGATTCTACGGTGATGTGTATAAATATATCGATATTATATATACATATATATATATACGTATATGTTCATATATACCTCGAGGTCAGCGTCTTTCAGTTAAGGCGTCGGCGCGTACACATATACTGATAAGACTGGGGGATGTCTTCAAAGATAGCGTATGTATGCATGCAGTAGAAGTTTTATATATAGAAAGGAAGTATTTTGTAAATGTGTATTCATATGTATATATATATATATATATATATGCGTGAGCTTGTTCTTAGGGTAGCGGCTTGATTGTACTAGACTGGGGATCGTTATTCTACGATGACGTATATATATATATATATATATATATATATGTCCATATATACCTCGAGGTCGGCTTCTTTCAGTTAAGGCGTCGGCGCATACACATATACTGATAACCCTTGGGCTATCTCCACAGTAGCATTTATCTGCATACAGGACCTCTTCATATATAGAGAGGAGATATGCTTGTGTGTATTCATATATATATATATATATATGCGTGAGCTTGTTCTCAGGGTGGCTGCTTAATTGTACTGGACTGGGAATCGTTATTCATATATCCTCCGTCTCGGCCCCTGGTGCTGCAGCCCGACCGCCGGCCCCCGCAGGCACCTAAGCTGCTACAACAGCAGCAGCAGAAGCAGCACGACCAGCAGCAGCAGCAACAGCAGGAGCGGCAGCACGAACAGCAGCGGCAGCAGCAGCAGCAGCAAGGACAGGGACAGCACCAAGTGCAGCAAGAAAGCGAGCAACTGCAGCAGCAAGGACACCAGCGGGCGCGGGAGCAGCAAGGACAGCAGCACCAGCAGCAAGGACAGCAGCAGCAGTCAGGACAGCAGCAGCAGTCAGGACAGAAAAAAGAGGAGAAGGAGCAGTGGCAGCAGCAGGACGGTGCCAGAGGGGATGCACATATGCAGCACCAGCAGCAGCAGCGGCAGCCGGATGAGGTGGAGCGACAGCAGGACCAGCAGCCGCAACAGCAGCAGCATCTGGATACTTCTGGACAGCAGCAGCAGCAGAGTGGGAAAGAGGGCAGATCATCTTTGAACGGTGCTACGGTTTCTGCAGATACTACGCAGAAGATGGCTTCTTCCCCCCCACAGGTACAGAAGGCAAGTGCTGCTGCTGCTGCTGGTGCTGCAGCGGCGAAGAAGAGAAAGGCTGCTGCGAGCCTACGTGGCAAAAGGCACATACCAGCAGCGGCAGCGGCAGCAGCAGGAGCGAAGCAGTCTGTCTCGCCTGCTGCCGCTGCGGCTGCTGTGCAGGACCCATCAGCTGCTGCTGCTGCTGCGACGCCCTGCAGCCGCGACAAAACGACTGCAAAGACTCTTCCCGCTGCTACGCCGCGAACAGGCGGTAGTTCTGGTGCTACTAAATCCAGCGCTGCTGCGTGTGCTGCTGCTCCTGCTGCGCGGGCTGTCACTCCTGAGGAAAGTGGAGCATCAGGTGGTGCTGCCGCTACTCCTCCTGCTGCTGCTGCCGCTGATCCTGCTGCTGCCGCTGATCCTGCTGCTGCCGCTGATCTTGCTGCTGCCGCTGGTCCTGCTGCTGCTTCTGCTCGTCGTTCTGGATCTAACGGGGCTGCTGCTGCTGCTCCTGCTTTTGCTGACTTGCCGTCAAGACGGGGCCGCTCATCCTCGCTTTCGAAGGCTGCAGCAGCGAGAAGACCTACACAGCGGACACCACCCGCAAGAGCAGCAGCAGCAGCAACAGCAGCAGCAGCAGCACAAAGAGCAGAAGCAGCTGCTACACGAGCAATCGCAGCAGCACAAGCTGCCTCTTCTCATCCTGCCACACTTGCTGTACTTGCTACCCCAGGAGGACGTGGTGTCAAACTCGTAAGTGGATGGAACTGATCTTACCGAGTGTACAGCTGACGCACATCATCCGTATATACATATATATATATATATATAGAGAGAGAGAGAGAGAGAGAAAGAGAGAGAGATATCTACAAGCACATATAAATCTACAAGCACATATAATTACATATACACATATATATATATATACATATATAGATACGCAAATATATGTATAGGTAGAGTGTGTGTCTGCAGGCTCTTTTGTAGTACACGCCCCACAGAATGCAGCGTTGCACGCATGTTCACGTAGGTAGAAATAGGGTTCGTGTACACACACGGCCAGCAGTTGCACATGTGTTTGTGCGTTTGTGTGGGCATGTATATCCGTATATGCATGCATAAACACATATATGTGTGTATGCATGTATACGCATATATATATATATATATATATGCATGTATATGTAGCTAACTAGACGCCTAAAGTGTACTTCTATAGCAAAAATGATATATGCTGTGAACTTGTGTTTATGTGCAATCTGCTTGCAGATAATTACCGGGCTTTATCAGAGGGCCTTTATGTATGTGTGTATGTACATATATATATGTATGTATATGTACGTAACTAGACGCATGAAGTGTACGTATATATATGTATATATATATATATATATATATATATGTATGTATATGTACGTAACTAGACGCATGTGTATATATATATATATATGTATATATATATATATATATATATATATATATTGGAGGAGGGCTCTGCTGTGAAATTGTGTTTCTGTACCATTTGCGTGCAGATAATCTCCTGGCCTCACCATAGCGCCTTTTGCTGCCTGTTGGAAGGCAGCAGCAATCGTAGTACTACTGCGCTGCTAGAGCACGGTAAAGGCAGGAGCAGCGTGAGCAGCAGCAGCACCAAGAAAGGAAGTGGTAACAGCAGTAGCAGATTTCCAGTGAGACGGCGTAGTTCGCCTTCTCCTCCTCCTCGTCGTTCACCTTCTGCCGCAGCAGCAGCAGCAGGAGCGGGAGCAGGCCATGGGCGCAGCAATGGTAGCCGTGGCTCCTTCTCTGGGTCTTATTATAGTGCTGGTAGTAAATACGCTTCTGCTGTTCCAACTGCTGTGACTACTACTTCTGATGATATCACAGGAGGGAGGGTAACAGCAGCGGCAGCAGCTACAGTCCATTGTGGTGCAGCACTTACATGCAGACATCATAGTAATAGCAGCACCAGCAGCAGCAGCATCAGCAGCAGCAGCAGCAGCCGCAGCACTAGCAATTGCTGCAGCACCAGCAGCAGCAACAGCTGTGATAGTAGAAATAGTTGCAAGTGTGGCTGCTCTTGTTGTTTCGTAGTAGCAGACGCAGATGAAGAGAAACTTGATGCTGTTGTCATGCAAGGAGAAGGCGGCCGCTGTGGGGCTGTACCTGTCACATGGCAGTTCGATATATTGCAGCAGCTACTCGATCATCATGAGCGTAGTCGGCTCAAAGCTGAAGACTTCGATGGAACCACCGCCTTCTTCTTCAGAAGCTTTAGAAACCAGGTATACACGCAAATATACATATATATATATATATACGTATGTATGTGTATACAGATATATGTATACATAGGGCCTCGCCATCGGCTTTGTTATTATTAGTGCATTAGTAGACATGCCTACTTTGTACACGGGGTCATATAGGGCAATCCGACAAATTACAACGGCCACTCGGCCGTCACGAAATATATATATATATGTATATACATATACATATATACCTCTGTGTCTTGTAGCTGCTGCTGCCCGTCACCTTCCACGCGGCTGCTGTTCCAACTATATGTATATAAATATGTGTGCCCATATATACATAGATATATATATATATATATGTATATATATATATATATATATTAGATGTTCTAGCAGCTGCTGGTAGCCCTTTCCACTATACGTGTAGTCAACTGCAGCTACTGCCGGCTGCTGTCTTCCTGTACGTCATTGCTGCATATATATGTATATATATATATATATACGAGTATGTATATGTATATACATATGTCCATTTAAAGTGGGTATTCGTGTGTATTACCGATCTTACATACGTAGTGCTGTATGTTATGGTCGCTCGTGCTGCTCCTGTTATTGCTGGCGGATAGCTTCGTGTGACTGCTTCAGTTCCGTTCTCTCTGCTGGCTTCAAAATCTCTTTGTTGTTAGTATGCAACAGCTGCTGCTTCTGCTTTCCCCCTTCCCTTTTTCCTTTTCCTGCTGCTGCTGCTCCTGCTCCTCCCCTTCTTTTCCCTGGTGCTGCTTGTGCTGCTGCTGCTGATGCCGACACTTCTTCCGCTGCGGCTGCCTCTGCTACCTGCGGCTGCCCCTGCAACCGACGGCTGTTGCTGCTGTGGCTGCTGCTACTGCTGTTGCTGATACGGCTGCTGCTTCTGCTGCTGCTACTGCTGCTTGTACTGCTGCTGGTATCGCTACTGCTGGTGCTGCTGCTACTGCTGCTGCTGCTTGTGCTTTTCCTTTGCGCCTCAGGTTGTCCACAGCAGCTGGCTGAAAGCAGAAGACGCAATTTTACGTAGTCGCGCACATTTTCGCCTGCGTCTGCGTGTACGAGAGCGGCCTACTCCTACTATCGCTACTACTGGTACTAACAGCGGTAGCAGCAGCACATTTATGATAGACAAGCTGCAGGAGCTAGAAGACAGACGTGATGGTGGTAGTAATAGTAGGAAAGGGTACTGGTGTAATATTGATGTGTTACTGCCTGTTTGTTCTCCTCTACTATGCGCACCACAGTGGGTAGTGCCAGGCGCAGGAGGCGCAGCAGCACCAGCCTCAGTGGCACTGCGCTGGGAAGAGAAGGTGTGGCTGCAGCGGCAGCAGGAGCAGCAGCAGAGGCAGCAGCTGGAGAAGCAGCAGAAGCAGAAAGCAGCTGCAATAGCAGCAGAAGCCGCGGCAGCATCATTACAATCAGGGCTAGTCACCACAGCATCAGCGAGCAGAATGACAGCTGCTGCTTTTACTGCCCTACTCACTGAAGCTGCTGCGGCCGTGAAGGAAGAAAAAGAGCAAGTAGAGAAGATAGTAGTAGTCAACGCCCCGCCAGCAAAACCGACAAAGGCAGCAACAGCAGCGACAGCAGCAGGATCGAGAGAGGCAGCAGCAACAGCACCAGTAGCGGCAGCAGCAGCATCAGAGAAGACCGTCTCGCAAGCGGCAGCTCATGTGGAGGCTGCGCAGGAATACAAACCACCGGCAGCACCTACAGCAGCAGCTACGACAGCAGCTGAGACAGCAGCTACTGCACCAGCTGCACCTGGAGCAGCCACAACAGCGGCGGCAGCACTAGCCGCATCGGCAGCAGCAGCAGCATCACCAGCAGCTTTCGCATCAGCGGCAGCAGCAGCAGCAACGGCTTTAGCACCGCCACCAGCACCAGCGGTTTTGCGTGCTGCAATTCCAGCAGCAGAGGAGAGCAATGAGAGCAGCAGAAGGAAGAGGAGGGAGATGTGTCAGCAGCAGGAAGATACGAAAATTCTTCTTGCTCAGCACGCATCGTTCAAGCGAGTGAAGAGGGAGAAAACTGAAGAAGTAGTTTATGATGATAAGATGGTAGTAAAAGTAGAAGTAGTACTAAAGCAGCCGCTGAGTAGCGCAGTCGCTCAGGAGGAGCAGCTAGCGCACCCCGGAGAGCTGCAGCAGCAAGAGGAGCAGCAGCAGCAACTGCAGCGGGACCACCTGCAGCAGCAAGAGCAACTGCAACAGCAACAGCAGCAGCAACAGCAGCTGCATCGACAGGAGCACCAGCAGCTGAAGCTGGAACAGCGCGAGCAAACGATGACGGGGTCTGGGGGGCCACGGCTACACGAAGACGATTCTACTCGTGAGACAGCCTCTGTGCTGCTGCAGCAGAGGCAGCAACAGAAGCAACCTGTGAAGCTGAGAGACACGCAACAAAGTATGCAGCAGGACATCGAGGGCGTAATGAAAGAAGACGAGCCAAACGTTCCGCGAGAACATGAGCAGCAGCAGCAGCAGCAGGACCAGAAGCCACCGCCTCACCAGCAGCAGAAGCGTCAACAGCCTGAGGCAGGGAAGGCAGAAATTCTCCCGCCGGCTTCGATTCAGCAGGAGGAAGGAAGTAAAGCTGGCGAGCAGCCTAAGCAGACCGCGGAGCTTCTACGACGGGTAAAACAGCACCAGCACCTGCAGCAGCAGCAGCACCTGGGGCAGCAGCAGCACCTGCAGCAGCACGGCAAGAAAAAAAAGAAAATACGTTCAGACATTGCTGCGCTAGTCAGACTTTTACGGGAGAGCGAAGCTCAGGATGGCAGCAGCGATAGCAGCCGCACCAGCAGCAGTGGCGCCAGTAGTAGCAGCAGCAGCAATAGCAGCAGCAATAACAGCAGCGGCAATAGCAGCAGCAGCAGCAGCAGCAATAGCAGCAATAGCAGTGGCAGCACTAGCATGAGCAAGGCGGTACAGGAGAAGGTGGAAGCGGCTGCTGGTGACTCCAGTCATGCAGACAGATCCAGTCTCACCGAGAGAGATACCAGAAGCAGCAGCAGCAATCACACTCCTCCTGCTGATGTGCCGGTGCATATACAAGGCGGCCCCAGCCCCACGGCGACTAACGCAAGTAACAGCAGCAGCAGCAGCACAAGAGCTGTCCAAGCACCAGACAATGTAGAAGACGGCCGCCCCCTGGCTCTACGTATCAGTATTGATGAAGCGAGCCTTCACAGCACACACGAAGCTTCTCTTGTGTCATCTGCTGTGTGCAAGAGGCAGCAGCTGCAGCAGCAGCAGCAGGAAAAGGTGGACGCAGGGAGACAGTCGAACGCAGCAGCAGCAGCAGCAACCTACCCCACCATCAGCAGCAGCAGCAGCAGGAACAGCAAGCGCCTGGCCGAGTGCAGCAGACGATGGTGGCCCACGTGGGGAACCATCAGCAGACAGCAAAGCACCGCGTACTGCAGCAGCAGCAGCAGGAGGAGGAGGACTGGAAACCTTCTCAGGCCCGGGGCACACAACATATATTTGTCGCAGACAAGACGCGTATAAAGAGCAGCAGCAGCAGCAGTCGTCGGTAGTAGATTGTAGCACTGAGAGGAATTTTGAAAAGCCGCAGAGAAAGACCCCACAACAGTTAATAGGGGGAGAAACAGCGGAAGAAGATGAAGACGAAGGTGACGATGACGACGATCTTGAGTACTCGGTAACGCGAGAAGGCCCACCCATTCTAGACGTCTGGCTACGCGCCGTTGCGGAAGCCGCCTACACGCGGCAGCGATTCTGATGGCTGGTCTACGACTTATCACTGCTACTCCCCCCCCCGTCTAAGTGCTGCTGCCGACTCCTGTCTGCGTGCTGCTGTCGCCTCATTCTTGTCTTCATGCTGCTGCCACTGCTGCTGCCGCACTGCTGTCTGCATGCTGCTGCTGCTGCTGCCTCAATGCTGTCTGCATGCTGCTGCTGCCGCACTGGTGTCTGCATGCTGCTGCTCCTGCTGCTGCCGCACCGCTGTCCGCATGCTGCTGCTGCTGGCGCACTGCTGCCTGCATGCTGCTGCTGCTGCTGCCGCACTGCTGTCTGCATACTGCCGGTGCTGCTGCTGCACTGCTGTCTGCATACTGCCGGTGCTGCTGCTGCCGCACAGCTGTCTGCATACTGCCGCTGCTGCTGCTCGCGCACCGATGTTCGCATGCTGCTGCTGCTGCACTGCTTCTGCGTGCTGCTGTCGTATGGTCTGCATGCTTACGCCGTACTGCTGTATGCTCCTGCTATATCCTCAGCATGCTGCTGCCTTCTACGCGAGGACTGCTGCACGTATATGTAGTAAGACGACGTGGGACAGCCTTTCTCTACGCGAGCTTCGCTGCGGTAATCTGTAACGAGACTCGCCACCTATATGATGTATACACATATATACACATATAGAGAGAGAGAATGAGACAGAGAGAGGCAGAGAGAGAGATGCGTGCCGTCCTTATATACGTTTGTCGAGTCCGATAAAAGGTTTGTATGCAGCCTCGAAAAAGAAGGAAAGGCTGCGGCATGACTTAGTGTGGCTTCCTTCTACGCGACGTTTTCCGCATGCGTAAGTAGCGATAGATCTTAAGACAGCCTTCTTCTGCGCGAGATTTGCTGCATATGCCTGTCGCCTTGTAACAGCTGAAGGTCTCTGGAAGCCTCTTCTCGACAGGCGGACGTCCTCTGCAGTGAATTATGATTCTTATTGGAGTCATGGCCTATCGTCGACAATATATATATATATATATGTATGTATATTTTAGGTTCACATATGTATATCTATATACATATGTGTAGAGAGATGTACAGATATGTTATATACACGTATAGAGATATATGCACGCATATAAGTGAATATATATATATATATATGTATATATGTACACACAGAAGTGAGTCCACGTGGCTTTTGCTGAAGTGCATCTGAATCTCCAACAAATGTCTAGATAGGCATCTGCACATCAATGGATATATATATATACATATACATATATACATATATATATATATATATATATATATATATATATATATATACGTAATTGTGTGTGTATATATATATATATGCACACGTATATATGAATTGTGTGTGTATATATATATATATGCACACGTATATATGAGTCCGGGTGCAAGAATTTTCTGCTATGCGTATGTATGGGTTTACAAAGATATGGCTCTGCAGCCCGTAGAAACGTATTTGTCTCTGTGCAGTAGCCTTTCGCTGCGGCTGATGAGTCTGCAGGCAAGACGCATGCCGTGTATCGAGTGGCCCGGGGCTTCATAGAACAAGAAGAACCGTGTATATATCTCTCTATATAAATATATATATATATTCGTACATCTACTGGATAAATGTATTAGAGTACTAAATGCACATATACAGGATGCTCGGTGTCTTCTAAAGGCACTGCTGGAGGCAAGAGCCTCCTGCGCGTTTCTTCCGCAGAATTTTCTTGCCGCATATTAGTAGAGTCACACACGGGACATACCTATATATGTGTATGTGTGCGTATATATATATATATATATACGTACATATACATTTTTGCATATATATGCATATGTATATATATGTATATATACGAGAGAGTGGAGGTACGTGAAAACCCGCAGTCTTTCAACGTTTGATTAGAAGCCGTCGGCCGTCTCTATGCACCACGTGTATCTATGTCGCCTAGAAAAAAGGCTCCGTGCACGTATGTATGTACGCTTGTACATATGTACGGATGCATGTCCCCACACGTTCTTAGGCGCATGCATGTGTATGTGAACGCATGCACATATGCGTATGTGTATGGTATACGCGTGTACGCTCATGTATGTATAAGGGTTATTGCACGTATATATCTATACGTACATATGTACGCATATGTATGAAGGCACGTATGTATATGTGTACGGTATGCAGTATATGTAAGCAACTGCTATACGTATATGTATGAAGGCACATATATATATATATATATATATATATATATATATATATATATATATGTACTGTAGAGTATATGCAAGCAACCCCTATACTTGAACCATACGTACGGCGCCTACACACAGATCTGCCAGCCGTACGCTCGGGGGCAAGAAAAGGGCAGGAGAACGCGAATGCTCTCGCCCCTGTCTTGGGCTCCATGGCGGTCGCAAGCAGCCGCGCGCGGGCGGCGGTACGGCGTGCTGCGCTTGCACTTCCACGGGGTGTGGCTACACGACTAGCACACAAGTAGTAGCATGCACCATACGTATATACACTTGTACCGCGCACGTGGTACAGTCATTTGCTACAACAAATATACACGTGTGTAGATATTTGTTTATACGTATGTATACGTATATGTATAAATTCGTGCATATATAAATATATACCCGCATACAGCACATATAGGGGTAAAAGGCGCTGCCTGTATACTTTTAACCAGACAGGTGTACGTGTCCCGAGACAGACACCTCAGCGGCCCATTGGCACACTGCAGATGACTCTCTTCCACCGAGAACACCTGCGTCTTGATGGATATACATACGTATATATATATATATATATATATATATATATATATTTATGAGTATTTATTGTTATCCGAGACGCCCGGTTACTTGCTTCTGTGCAATGATAGCAAGAAATTTCTGATCCCACGTATCTTATGCACGTATGTACGGCAGAGATGAAAAGAGCAGTGCCCGCCTTGTCCTTGGAGGCCCCAAGTATATACGTATATCCATGCATATATCGTATACATATATATATATATATATATATATATATATATATATATGTGCGCTTACACGAGACGCACGGCTATTTCCTGCTGTACATGAATACCAGGATTTTTTGAGTTTATATATATATATATATATATATATATATATATATATACGTGTCCACTTATGTGTAGCAGAGACAACAAGAGCAGTGCCCGCCTGCTCTTTCGACGCCCTACTTTTCGTTAGTTCCCAAGAGGTACTAAGCCTCTATATGTCTCTGATTGTATCCTGCAGTAAATGCGTGCCTGCCAGTATACACGTGATCTAACGCCTCCCCCCAGTCAGGCGGCAGCAAACATGTCGTAGGCCGCAAGCGCCAGAAGGCATATATGTAAAGAGACCTCCACATACGTAGGATTGAAGGATGTGCCTCTTATATATATACGTTGCTGCAAATATATTTCCAAAAACATATATACAGTATGCGCACGGGTATATATATATATATATATATATATATATATATATATATGAGATATATATGTATGAACCATAGAATGACTGTCAGGTACATACAAAGGTCGCTGTCAATACTGCAGAAGAATACTCTTCTCTGTTGTTATATATGCCCATACGTATTGCACTGTTTATCAAAAGACGCGTACCGAACACGCCTACGCCGTTCAAGTGCACGCATATATTCTGGTGCCCGCCCTCAGCCCCTCTAAAAGCCGTATCTCTAAAGATATATGCAGGTCTGCACACACACAGCTGTCAAAATATATATATATATATATATATATATATATATTATACATATGCATATACATATGTATATATATATGTATATGTCTGTACACTCTGTACAAAAATATGTAGGCACAACCTCACCAGACAGCAGATCCGTAATGGGGTGTGTACGCATCCCTAGTACCATATAAAGTGAGGCATTCGTGCATGGAAGTAGAGTATGCGCGCTGGGGGAGAGCGCAAGCAGGCATACATGAATACACGCACACATGCAGAGACACACCTGTACGTACATGGAGGCCCGTACCTATCTACATATATATATATATATATATATATATATATATATATATATATATGTATATATATACGCATATATACATGTACAGACATTTATATATATATCGACATATACAAAGAGAGCAGGGGAGAGAGAGGGGAAGAGAGAGTAACACACTACTATCTGTACGACATGCCTGCATATATATATATGTATATGTATATATATATATGGGTAGGGAACAGGTAGTACATCAGTAGAAGCCCTCTTCCCTCTATACTTACATAATAGCAGCTTCTTTAAAAATATGAAAGGCGGCCGAAAAAGCATGGGTCACTAGTCGTGGAGAAGAGATGCTGCAAATAATTTCGTCTCGCTCATTTGCTGCTGACTCTGCTGTTGCTGCTGCTTCTCCAGCAGCTCCTGCCGCCTGCAGGCAAGAGAACAGGCGCAGCGCAACAGGCACAGAGCCTACACAACGATCTACATATGTAACAGACACGTTCACTATGATTTTCGGAATATACTGCGTACATAACCAGACCCGGTGATACCGCCTGTACAAAGAACTGCGTGTGTACCCCTGGGGACTGTGCGCATGAACGTAAAAGAATAAGAAGGAAAGGCGCCGCAACTAGGTACGTAAGAAGCCGTCTAGGCGACATGTTTATCGTTAGCACCCTGAACTCTCCATATTATTACATACATTTGTACACGTACAGATATCCACATGCGGGCCCAGGATTCACAGTCATCAGCATGTACCAAGCACGACGATATCTACCGCTTAGTAGGAGGGGTCTAGAGATTCAAGCATCTCCTTCACACTCTGCACCTATCTAATATAAATCTGTGTATGGGCAGGAGCTACACCTACAGGGGAGAAACAGTGAATACAACAAATTCATTACACAGGGATTAACAAGGAGAAGCATACATATTCAGACATATACCTACATATACATAACTATATATATATATATATTATATGTACATATATATATATATATATATATATACGTATACGAGTGTATGATATGAATGCCGCGTCGCGTACGCGCGTACCTAGACGGACATTGTACAGGGCGCCTCGCACCCTGCAGGCGGGCATCCCCCTACAGGTGTACATATGTGTCTATCTATCTACCTATCCGTGTATGTATCTATCTATCTAGCTACCTATCTATATTATATATATGTATAGGTACGTATATATATGCGCGCGTATATATGCATGCATCTGTACGCATACATGTATATATATGTAGACATATATGTATATATATATATATATGTACATATATACATATAGGCATGCCCGAATGTACATGTATATCTATATATATATATATATATATGCATATCACTAGTCCTCCTTACGCACATACGTATTTCCCGAAGGATAAGTATGTGCTCCCTCGCAGTCAGCATTTCATCAGTCACGTCGCGCGCGTACATGCGTGAAGAGGGACGCTGCGATGCCGGCGCAGGGGAGCCCGTCTGCCTTCCGTACACATTTGCGTATACATGTAAAAATATATATATATATATATATATAATTATATATGTAAATATATATGTATATATGGTAACGGGAAGGCGGATAGCCTTTGCTGCGCTGGTAGGTGCTAGAGACTCCGTTGTGTGCGTGAACATGTATGGATATATATATATATATAAATATGTATATATATGCATATATATATGTATATAGGCGTGACCGCAGGCGACGGTGAGACGGCGTGGGTGCGAGCAGGCGAAGAGCGTCTACCCTCGCGGTATATGTCGAAGCAGATACATAGATACACGTAGTGTAGGTATACATCTCTACGTGTATAAACACAAGTTAGGGTAATAAAACTACGCGTATGCTATATATGTAGAGGACACATAGGATGAACACCTAGTTACATGTAGGCCTACGCGCGCAAAAGAACTGCCACCCACGGACATATATATATATATATATATATATATATATATATATATATATATATATATATATATGTTCATGAACACTCATGTACATAGATAGGCATATATAAGGCGGAAGCCCTACAGCAGCGATATGTGGGACGCATATTTCTATGTGCCTATGGGCACAGAGGAGGATGCTATACAGAGCACTGTGCGCAGTACATACTGTATACGTATGTATGGGAGACAAAGATCTTCCACTGTGACGATATTTATTGGGGGCCTAGACAGAATATATGGGAGCATAGATGAAGGAAGCGCTATGCAGAGTCTACTGACAAAAGACCACTGTATATATATACATGTACATATATACATATATATCTATATATATATATATAGGTATATGTGGCATACACATACACAAGTGCGTACACGTGTATGTGCCTATACGTTTAGGCATATGTAGGCGCTTATACGCGCGTGTATGTAAAACGTACCTCCGCTGTTCTTTGAGCTCCGCCTTTGCCTTCAGACGTTCCTTCTTCAACTTCAGCTTGAATAAAAAACGCTCGTCGAATTTTCTGCACCCACGCAGTTGAATATACATATATATATATATATATATATATATATATATATATATATATATATATATATATGTGCAAGTATGTGCGTACGCATACATATACTTGCATATCTTATATGCATATATATATATATGTATATATGTATATATACACTCGTGGGAAAATGCCTGCCGTTGCGTTGTGGACGCTCATGCATTCTCTCTGCTACCTGCACAACTACATATACATACAGATTTATGTACACCTGTGCGCTCGTGGGCGCCACACACACACATCTGCAGATCTACATATACATATATACATATCTATATATAAATATATATCATATATATGTATTGAGCTATCCTCTGGAAGTAAACGTGCTCTGCGCTGTGTATAGTGCACGCGCGCAACGCTTATGATACGCACATAACTAGATATTATATGTATATATATATACACGTGTATTTGGGCTAAGATACATACATATACATATATATATGTATATGAATGGAAATTTTTGTAACCGGGTCATGGACTGTGCACGGGTGCTCCCCCTCTGCCGTACAGACAAGTATATATATATATATATATATATATATATATAGAGAGAGAGAGAGAGAGAGAGAGAGAGAGATATAGTTGTATATACGAGTATATACATATATGTATAGAGGTAAACATGTGGAAAGAAAGAAAGATAATCATTTGCGTCTGGTCAAAGAGCGCGTGCATGGTATCGCACATGTAAGTGGATATGTTGAGGCGTAATGGAGAAACGTCTCTGTGATGCAGCCATGCGAGCACCAGTGCATGTATGCGTACATACAGCGATATACTCCTGTCTATTCGTATCGGTAGATACATTTATATACACATTTGTGTAGTTGGCCTCGGATCTACACGCAGCTATACAAAACGCTGCGGAACTCCCTGCAGGCTGGTCGTAGCTGAGCAGCTGTCCCTACGACCGCAGCAGCGTACCTGTGCATATGTATAAACACACGAATGCGCACTTTACACATATATACATACGTATACATATATATATATATATATATATATATATATATATATGCGTCTATATGTGGATGCACATAAATACATGTGTGCAGATGTGTATAGATAAATAATACGTACCGGCGTCATAAGCTAATAAATCGATGATAAAAAAAATGCATGTACGTATACAGATGTATATATATATGTAGTACATAAGTCAACACAATGACTGCCACGGCTTCGAAGCATCCAGGAGTGGAGCGTCTATACGCACGCAGCGTACAAATGTATATATATATATATATATATATATATATATATATATATATATGCATACGTATATATATATATATACCTGTGCACATCTGCCAATGGGCAGCTCGGCATCCAGCTATGGAACTGAGCACACGTGTGTCTGTTTACGTATATCAGACTGCGCACACATACGCGTGCATACATGTGTATACGAGTACCTAACTACGTACACATGTATATATATATATATATATATATAGATTTAGATATAGATATATGCGTACGCAAGCATACAGCGGAGTAGAGAAAATACACAAATACAGATGTATGTACATGTATGTATATATATGTATGTACATCTAAGTACATACGTATATACAAATATACACGCGCATACATGTATAATACAAAGGGGGCAAAGCGTAAGTGAAACGAAGCACCCACGGGTGGTTTCTGGGTGCGTCCAACGCACGCAAAGCAGCAGACATTACCGCACTTCTGCCGTAAACACATACAGTGATATATATATATATATATACATATATATGTATATGTATGCATATATACATAATATTATATCCTTACTAGCAGAGGAAAATATATCACCTGTAAAAGTCCGTAGTGCGGGACCAAATCTGAAGCTCTTCGGGTAGTGGTGGCTTGTGCTGCCACAGTTGTATCTGTTCTCGACTCCAACTGCAAAAGCATCAGCAGCAGTCGCAGCAGCGGTATAATCATCAGGAGCAGCGTATGCACCAGCAGCAGCAGCAGCAGCAGGAGCAGCACGCGGACGAAGAGTAGTAGAAGCAACACAGTGGCCAGCAGCAAGAGCAGCAGGAAGATCGCTAGCAGCAGCGGCCGCAGCAGCAAATTCGCCAGCAGCATCAGCAGCAGCACACAATTTACCCGCACTAGTAGTAACAGTAGCACCAGCAGCAGCAAGTGGAGCAGCAGCAGCAGCAGCAAGCAGAGCAGCAGCAGCAGCAGCAGCAGCAAGTGGAGCAGTCGCAGAGGCAACTGCAGTACGAGCAGAGACGGCTGCAGTAGCCGGGGCGACTGCAGGAATAACGAGACAGCAGAGGCACAGGACAGACAGCTACACCAGAGACACAACTACAGCAGCTGAGACAGCTGCAACGTAAGAGCCTGCTACAACAGCGGAGACAGCCACAAAAGCAGAGAGCACTGCAGTAAGACCAGAAACGGCTGCAAGCATAGGCAGCAGCAGTGTCGTAGACAGCTACAACAGCAGAGACAGCTACAACAGCAAGGAGAGCAGCAACAGCAGAGACAGCAACAACAGCAGAGACAGCTACAACAGCAGTGACAGCCACAACGGCGGCGCCACCTACAGCAGCAGCGATAGCTACAACCACAGCGACAGCTACAGCAGCAGACCCGGCTACAACAGCAGCAACAGCTACAACAGCAGAGACAGCCGCAACACCAGTGGCAGCTATAAAAGCAGCAACAGCTACAACAGCGGCGACTGCTACAGCAGCAGCCACGGCTACAACAGCAGAGACAGCCGCAACAGCAGAGGCAGCTATAAAAGCAGCAACAGCTACAACAGCAGCAACGGCTACAACAGCAGCGACAGCTACAACAGCAGCGACAGCTACGACCGCAGCAACAGCTACAACCGCAGCAACAGCTACAACAGCAGAGACAGCCGCAACACGAGAGGCGGCTATAAAAGCAGCAACAGCTACAACAGCAGGGACAGCTACAACAGCAGAGACACCTACTAGTGCAGGCTCAGCTACACGAGCAGAGAAAATTGCAACAGCAGTGTCAGCTACACGAGCAGAGAGAGAGGCAACAGCAGGGAGAAGGGGAACAGCAGCGGGAGCTACAACAGCAGCGACGGTCTTCTCAGCAGAGACAGCTGCAGGTGCAGGCTGAGCTGCAGGGGCAGGGAGCGGTGCACCAGCAGGGAGAGGTGCAACAGCAGAGACAGCTGCAACAACAGAGACAGCTGCAACAGCAAAGACAGGTGCAGCAGCAGAGGCCGCTACAGCAGAAGAGAGAGGTGCAGCAGCAGAGGCAGCTACTGCAGCAGAGAGAGGTGCAGCAGTTTGTTATTACTCGGGTAGAGCAGGGCGATCTGTACGCCAGTAAACAGACAGTTTGTCTTTTATTTGCTGGTGCAGCACGCGGCCGGCTCGCCGAAGCAGCTGCTCTAGTTTCTCTCGTTTTACTAGATGGGGATATACTACTAGGCCTTCCAGTTGTGCTGCACTGCCGTAGTGCCGTCTTCTCCTTGCTGCAGCAGTTGTTTGTGCTTCAGAGATGTCTTGTACTGACGTCTTTGATGCAGACGACTCTTCAGGCTGCACACACGACAATAATGCCCGTCTTCCACTCTCTTCTTCTACTTCTTCTTGTTCCTCTTTACTTTTGCTGCTGCTGCTGCTGTGCTACTACCACTGTTGCTGTGACTGCTTCTACTAGTGCTGCTGCTTGTAGAAGTGCCAGTACCGCTGCTGCTGCTGTTGCTGCCCTTGCCGGGAGGCGGAAGCTGCTGCTGCGCGGGTGCCAAATAAAATATCTCGTTGATAGGCTCGCGTACGAAAAACTGCAGCCAGCTACCACATGTTGCTTCTATACTGTAGCCTGCAGCCATCTCACGGCAGCACCAGCAGCAGCATCAGCAGCAGTAGCAGCAGCATTAGCATGAGCAGCAGCGGCAGCAGCTTGAGCAGCTCCCACCTCACGTGGCATGAAAACAGCAGCCTCTGACCACCCTATCGCAGGATTCAAAAGCAGTAAGGCTCACGGGAACAAAAGCAACGGCAGCAGCAGCAGCAGACGCAGCACTACCACCAGCAGCAGCAGCCGCAGCACTACCAGGAGCAGCAGCAGCAGCAGAAGCACTAGAGGCAGCAGCAGCAGCCGAAGCAACAACAGCGGCACAAGCAGCATTAGCGCGCACGTATGTAGCACGTATACTGTCGAACGACCGTCGCAGTGCAGCACATAGACGTAGCAGTGCCCCATAAGCACAGAAGCGGCAGCAGCAGCAGCAGTGTCAGCCGCCGCCGCAGCAGCGTCAGCAGCAGCAGCAGCAGTAGCAGCAGCCAGTACATGCAGCTAGCGTACTGTAGCCTGTGCCCCCCCAAAGCATATAAGAGTAATACTGCCTCTGCGGCGGCACTAGCAGAAAAACCAGAAGCAGCAGCTGCAAAGGCGTAGTCTGTGTCCGCCTGCGTCAACGTACACGAGCTCCCTGCACACCAAGACATATATATATATATATATATATGTACATATATATATATATGTCTACATGTGTATATTTATATATATACACATGTGAATATATATACATGCGTATCAACGCACGTATGCGTATGTATATGTATAGAGAGAAAGAATTGTCCGCAAGTATCAGAAGCCGGTTCCTGCGTGTGCCGCCTTGTTTCTGACCATATGGGGATGTATACATGAACGCACGAGATACGTACATGAGACTCGTTGTATTGTCATACATACACCTTATACGTTTTTTACAAGACCACCTACCAATATACATATGTATAGATATGTAGGTACATATATATGTATATATATATATAATATATGTATATATTTGTATATGTACAGACAAGTGTATTGACTAGGATGTCGACATCTACCAGTAGGTGGTGTCTACGTCTATCAGCTGTTTTCTGCCTGCAAAAGAATACCTGCACGACAGTGTAAAATACAAACGATAGTCAGTGGGTGTTTGCACGATAGCTTATGAACAACGACCTACACATATGCACATACCTGTATACACATGTATGTGTACGTACGCGTACATAGGCGTGTATATACATGTAATATGAATACACACATATATATATGCGTGTGCATATGGATCGACGTTTACGTGTCAGCAGATGGTCTTCGCGTCTGTCGTCTTCCTGCCGTCCATGAGAGAGCGTGGACAGCAATCTATGGGTCAGAAGCAATCGCCACGCCATCCACGCATAATCCGTTATGCATGCATATATATATATATATATATATATATATGTATATATATATGTATATATTTATATACATATATATATACATATATATACATACATGTATGCATGCATACGTTTGGTGCATGTAGGCATTCTGTAGTGCACGCGTATGAATGTACACTCGCAACCCGGTACACTTATATATATCCTTTTATAAATATATGTATATATATATATATATATATATATATACAGAGGAAGCTGAAAACCAAGAGGATAGACACAAGTTTGTCTACACATATACGCCTATACACATATATGTAAATATAAATGGCATTGCCAACGTGCGTGATAAGCAGTTGTGGTGGGCGCCCTACTAGCATATCTGTGCAGACAGGCACGTACGAAGAAGATCTACCTGTACACTGGCGTATATATATGGGTCCCTACACATACATACGAAGAGAGAGGGGCAGAGAGAGAAAAAGGATACATACACGACAATACATATGTAAGTGTATGCACGTATGCGAGTACGCATATATATATATATATATATATATACGCAGATGTGCGAGCATACAGATTTTTATCCATATATAGAGAGAGAAGCGTACGCGTGCATACTTAGCCTGAGTGGTGGCCACGCTACGTAAACGAAGATATACATAGGGACATATACAGAAGCCAAAAGCACACCTATATGTCTACGCACCCGACTCTTCGCCGTCTCGCTACTTCCACATAAACATATAAGAATACTTCTGCATATACATGTTTATATGTGTGTATTCGTATATTTCCGTACACATAGATACATATGTATGTACAATCGGCCCCGTGCTCGCGAAGTCGCGATT